TCCGCGGGGACCTGGTGGTTCGTGAGGTCTGATAGGTTGCCGACTGCTCCTATAAAGTGTCTTAGTACCACCCCTGCCCTCAGTTGCTTAGTTCCTTCTCAAGCAACTTATGTATTTTATGTATTTTTCCATTTAAAGAAAAATATATATATATGGTTTTTTAACAGCTTGAGACATAATTCACATGTATATGATTTAGCCTTTAAAGTGTACAATTTAGTGATTTTTATATATTGACAGTTTTGCAACCATCACCACAGTCTACTTTGAAACCATCTCTGTCACCTCAGAAAAGAACCCTGTGCTCCTCAGCAGTCACCCCCCATTTCTCTAATCCCCTCAACTCCAGGCAGCCACTCTATTATGTATAGTTTTAATCCCTCAATTTTTCAAATGAGTGGTTGTGTACTGGGGACTGCTCTACAACTTGACTCTTCCATCAGGTACTGTTTCACCATCTTGGGGCTCTTCTGCCATGGAGGAAGGAACAGAACCAAAGCTGCACTCTCAGGGTGGATGTGCCCACCATGTGCCTGGGATGCAGAGGGATCTGTGGGAACTGGAAGTTAAGGCCATGCTTGTCATTTACTACAGGGGGTGGCCTCATCTCTCTGTTCTTTCTGTGCTTAGAAACTCATCGCATATGGGCACATCACCGGCAATGCTCCAGACAGTGGAGCTCCAGGGAAGCGGCTGATTGACAGGATCGTTGAAACCATTTGCAATTGTTTTCAGGGCCCTCAAACGGATGAAGGAGTTCAGTTACAAATAATTAAGGTATTTCTGTGAGTTTGCCTGGTCTGGATTTTAAATTTGAAACTAGTCCCCTATGGTAATTTGGATTTCTGATTTACCATGTGTTAGTTGTCTCAGGTGGTGCTGAGCTGGAACAGAAAAATGTAAGCATCACTTAGATCTTTTATAAAGTGTCAGAATTTATTAGCGTGGAATGAGACAAGAAGAGTGGAACCAGGTGTGTTTTCAAAGTAAACAGTTCCACTAATAACAATGTAAATTGCTTGTGAATTAAATTAATTTGAAGTCCTCTGGTCCTGCCCCTTGAATTTCTGGATTCCCAATCTGCCATTTCTCAGCAGGTTCCTGTTGATACTCCTATCACTAGTTTGCCCTGTTTCCACCCCCCCATTCCATTTCCCTGTTCCATTTATCCTGCCAGGAATGGTTTGGCATGGAACAAAAAGCAGGATCAAGATGAGTGTAGCCAACATTCTGTATCTTAAGTTCTGGATGTAGAATGACTGATGGCTCCATGTTAGCCGCACCTTTCCTAAAGCTCCCTTGAAACTGACCCCCTCCCCCATCAAAACATGTATATTTTGGTGTTAATCCAGGTGAGATCAAGTTGGAGCATTTTTCTTCTTAAGAGAAGTATTTTTTTTCTTTTTAAAAAGTAAGCTGGTAGAAAGCCCACTTTACAACTTAATTACTTTAAATAATTTGGACTTTATGGATTTAATAATTGTTTTTAAACTCAGAGCACTAATGAGTCATCTCTTAGTACTAAGCATCCAGTTTAGTTTGCAGAGCCATTCTTTTAAAAATTTGTCAAACCAAACAAAAACAAAGCCAAACCTTGTGGAAAAGTTTGGCTGTGAGAAACTGGGAACAAGCTGGGTATTTGTGAAGGCGAAGGTTTCGGATTTTTGTTTTAGGCTCTTCTGACTGCAGTAACGTCCCCGCACATTGAAATTCACGAGGGCACTATCCTACAGACTGTTAGGACATGTTACAATATCTATTTGGCCAGCAAAAATCTCATCAATCAAACCACTGCCAAGGCTACCCTTACTCAGATGCTGAATGTCATTTTCACCCGCATGGAAAACCAAGTGGTAAGTGAGAGCAGTCATCAGCTGCTGGGGGTGGGACAGCATCCCATGCTGTGAACTGTTTTGTTTGTGGCCTCAGTCCCTCGCGAAGAGTCACTAGTGTTTTAAAGTGTATGCCTTCTTCCTCTGAATTCTGTACACTTTTGTTTTCGTTCTCGCTATAAAAAGCAAGAGAGAGAATCTAGCAGGTATTTTGAAATTTGCATTCAGAATTTGCTTTGAGTTTGTCAAAGGGATTTATTTCCTTGTTAAAATTTTATCCTTCTCTTTGGAAGTTTTTTAAGCAACAGGCTGGCATATTTTCTGTTCCTTATCAAAATTCTGGGGCCATTTGGATTTAATCCCTTTTTTGTTGCCTTCTAGTTTCAGGAGATCAGAGAATTGGAAAAACCAGTCCAGTCGAAACCCCAGTCCCCTGTGATTCAAGCTGCAGCAGGGTCCCCAAAGTTCAGTCATTTGAAGCAGAATGAGGCACAAAGCAAACCAACAACTCCTGAAAAGACAGATTTAACCAATGGTGCACATGACACAAGTGGTTCTGAAAAAGTGAGCTCAGAGAATGGAGATGCACCCAGAGAAAGAAGCTCATCGCTATCAGGTATGCCCCATGTGCTAAGAGAGGGGAGTCTGGTAACATCTGCAGGAAACCTCTAGTAGCAGCTCCTCTATTTTTGGGCCTTCCCTTTGACTTTCTCTTTGCTTTCCTCTCATGGAACACAACCATCAAGGCATGATGGCTAATGCCCATTGTCACCTGTGTAGTGTTCTCTCAGTAATTCCTGAAATGTATCTATTTACTGCTGGGGGTTTTTTTAATTCTCACCCAAGGATATATTTTTGTTGATCCTAGAGAGGGGGTGGAGGAGGGAGAGAGAAACATCAATATGAGGAAGACATCAGTCACCTGTCTTCCATATGCACCCTGACCAGGAATCAAATCCACAGCCCTTCGGTGCATGGGACGATACTCCAACCAACTGAGCTACACTGGCCGGGGCTGGCTACTGCTTCTTGACATCAGCTTCAATGCAGTGGGTTTAGTTTGGGGCACTTATCTCCCAATAGTTAATTATTTGGGTGGTTAGTTCAGTGTCTGTGTTATCTTCCCAGAGGATGACAAGGACTTCATCTGTCACTTACACACAGGATCTCCAGGCCTTACCCACTGCCTGGCAAGTCTTTGATACTCACAGACATCAGTGAGAAGAGCAAAATATGGGCAGTTGCTGGAGATGTAGATGGACAGATCGACAGCTTTGTTTTCTTATTCTATGACTGAGAACATTACCTGTTTTTGTTTGCTTTTTTAAATGAAAGAGATACCCCCCACCTGTTTATAGTCTTAAAGTAAATAATGTATTAGGCATGAAATATTGGATTGGGTTATCATAAGATTATTTTCCTTGGACAGCTGATATGAACCAGATCCAAAATTTATTTTTTCCCCCAGGAATGTACCTTCCCAAGTGATTCTGTCAAATAATTCATTACTCTAGCTGGTTGTTCTACATGAAATATCTGACCCATCTTTATAATTGCTCTCATGTTTTCTTGTGTTCC